CACAGATAACTCCAACATCTTATAAGATGATGGTAAAAAAGGGGCTCTTGGAGGGTTGACAAACATGTCGGCATCGGCCTCGTAACCCAAGCTGTCTCTCAGGACTCCACCTGACTTGCAGCTTTATATTATAAGAATTATTTACCATAATATATACACACACATGTATATAATATGTATTATGTGTATGGGGTAGAGAAGTGAATTGTGTGGCTTGGGTGGTACCTTACAAGGGGGATAGGTTAGATTTGGTTAGAATAGGAGGAAGTCAGAGCACCCAAATGAGCCGCAGACACGTTGAAAAAGGTTTTAGTATTTAGAGACCAATTGGAACGATGTAGACAATTCGGTACAGCGTCACCGAGCCATCTAGGCTGGTTGACACACCTCTGGACTTTCTCCAAGCTTCGCTTTGTGGTTGATATAGAGGCTCCATGCTGGCGCCGCATATGCCAAGCTTGGTCTGACGTGCGTGACAAAGTGAGTGGAGCTGGTTTTGGTTTGCATGTGTCTACACACACACACAACGAACAATCATACTTGCCTAACAAAAACGTCAAACTAGATATACAAAGAAAAAGAAAGAAAGAAGTGATGTATAAAATTAAGCTAGTGTGTTTGTGTGTTTAATGATGTTTGGACCTGCAAGGCTTGGAGGCCAGCCAGACGCTACAGCTGGTGGGCATTTGGCCACATTCGGACCGTAATGAGAATATAATTATCTTGCTTATGATGCGTGGCAAAAAAACATTTATAAGAACATAAGAACATAAGAACAAAGGCAAACTGCAGAAGGACTATTGGCCCATACGAGGCAGCTCCTATCTATAACCCCCCAATCCCACCCATTTTTCTAAATAACGTCAACGAGATCTTGAGTTATCTTGAGATGATTTCGGGGCTTTTTAGTGTTCCCGCGGCCCGGTCCTCGACCAGGCCTCCACCCCCCAGGAAGCAGCCCGTGACCGCTGACTAACACCCGGGTACCTATTTTACTGCTAGGTAACAGCAGTAAAATCTTGATCTTCATATCAAACACAATTCCACGTCACCTGATGATGCAACACACAGCATTGGGTGTTGCATCATCTTTCATCTTAATTATTTAGTTATTGACCGCCTATACTTCCTCAAGTCTCGAACAATACGAGATACAAATAGATATCATAGTTACCAATAGATTAATAGATACATATATACAGGCAAGACGGGGGCCGGGTGCTAAAACTCAAATGTTATTCTTGTCCAACAGAGAATAAAAGTTAAATTTGAAGAAACGGATATCGTCGCTATCCTCGTAGCGGGTATCGTCGCTATCCTCGTCGCAGCCGCTGCTATCGTTAAGACGACGTGGCACGTCCAAACGCCGCCAAATACCACACGGGTCAACACGACGACAAAGCGACGAACAAAGGCGTACGACACCAAAGGTATTAAAGATCCACTAACAATGCAGGCGATGAGTCACAATAACGTGGCTAAAGTATGATGGCCAGACCACACACTAGAAGGTGAAGGGACGACGACGTTTCGGTCCGTCCTGGACCATTCTCAAGTCGACAGTCGACTTGAGAATGGTCCAGGACGGACCGAAACGCCGTCATCCCTTCACCTTCTAGTGTGTGGTCTGGTCATCCACTAACAATCCTTTTAAAGGTCCAAAGTAACCCCCCCCTCCCCCCGGGCAGGCAACACGACTCAATCGTCCCAAGAGTTAAGACATTGTACGAGGAGGTGGACAGTGCATTTGGAAACAAAAAAAGGAACAGGACGCTAGTTCCGTGAAGCTGCCAGCAGTTAAGGCACCCATACTCATTATGACGTCAGAGTGACGTCACACATCGGGTGGAGTCGGATATTAGGTTTATCAAATCACGATGACGAGGAAGGTATATATATATATGTAGAAAAAATATATGTAAACGAAATTGTAACATGCGTTAAAAACCCGTAAATATACAGATAGATGAATCTTATGAAGGCATTCCTCGATGAAATTTGCTTTACTTTTTCTTCTCCCACGACGATTAGGGAGTTGCGTTCTTAAGCCTCGTATAAATGAGGACAGGTATCGATACTGGTAATGGCTCCAAAGGGCCACCACTTACGGGCTATTCATGCCCGTGCCACCTTTTGGGTGGCTTAATCTTCATCAATCAATCAATCGCCTGCACTGACAAAAGTCCGTGCCCAAGCCATCTCCTAGAGCCTACAGACAGACATTCGTGTACAGAACAAGGTAACTGTTCCTGGCGCCCCGTAGGAAATGTCACAAAAAGGTTATCATTCAAAGCAATTATCAAAGTATTATATAGACCTAAGTAGCAACTTGAAGGGGGGGAGAAGAGGGGGGGGAAGAGGGGGGGGGGAAGAGGAGGGGGGGGGGAAGAGGAGGAGGAGGGGGGGGGAAGAGGAGGAGGGGGGGGGGAAGAGGAGGGGGGGGGGAAGAGGAGGAGGAGGGGGGGGGAAGAGGAGGAGGAGGGGGGGGGGAAGAGGAGGAGGAGGGGGGGGGGGGAGAGGAGGAGGGGGGGGGGGAAGGAGGAGGAGGGGGGGGGGGGAGGGGGGGGGGGGAGCCACCCCCATGGCGTTGTGAGAAGGGGGGGGATGTGTGTAGGGGGGAGGGATGGGGGTATAAGAGACCGCCCCCCCCCCACTAGCGGCTCCACTACACACTACTTAAGAGCGCTATCAGCTCCCTTTGTTTCACTTGTACAAACAAACTGCAGGACACGGGAGGTAGACGGGCATAATGCCTGTCAGAGCCCCCAGGAACGTTACTGTCTGGCCTCGCGACCTCTGCCCGTCGAGTGCTGCCCTCAAGTGACCTCGTATCTTAATGAAAAGATAATACAGTCTGCGCTTATTAGGTTTACGAATCCCTAAATATACTATTCGGATCTCGAGGATCACGCCAGCGGGGGTGTAATTACTAACCCGTCAAGGGAGAGGAACGACCATCGGAGCCCCCCCCCCGCAGGAAAGCACTATAATCACCCAACCCTATATTTCCCTCCTGGTATCTGCACTGACGAAGCAGGAAGCCGCCGGCGCGAGCTCGGCCCTGGGTAAAGGAAGGCTCTGAGAGAGGTAATAACACAGTTAAGCCGATGACACTGATCCGTCAACCATCCATGAACAAATCTACAAGGGCCGTGACGAGGATTCGAACCTGCGTCCAAGAGCATCAGCCCTATACCACCCTTCTCTTGTTTACACAGCGACACGTGTTGGGTCACTCACATAATCTAGCGAAGATGTGTATATATAAAATGAGTTAAAAAAGACTCAACATCAGGTCACGACGGCTGTTGTGGTTTGGGCCAGACGGGACAGGAGGGAGAGAGAGAAGGAGAGAGGGAGAGAGGGAGGGAGGGAGGGAGGGAGGGCAATAGAGGCAATAGAGCGTGTGCTCTGGGCATGCGGCCGCTGACACCCAACACAACACATACAAACATTGGCTCTGTATCCCTCAAGTCGGTCCCAAGTAAGCCTCGATTGTTATGGCGACAGCGGGGGAGGGAGCCCCTGCTGCTGCCGCTGCTGCTGAGACCACAGGAGTAGTCAAAGAGCAGACCGAGTTACACGCTGCATACATAACCCTTTCCTTTGGGCGAGGGGAGGCCGCCATCTTGGGTTACCGAGACGGGCCCCCACCGCCTCGAGGACCAGCTGGGAGTTACAATCACCGCCGCCTCGAGGACCAGCTTGGAGTTACAATCACCGCCGCCTCGAGGACTAGCTGGGAGTTACAATCACCGCCGCCTCGAGGACCAGCTGGGAGTTACAATCACCGTCGCCTCGAGGACCAGCTGGGAGTTACAATCACCGTCGCCTCGAGGACCAGCTGGGAGTTACAATCACCGTCGCCGCCTCGAGGACCAGCTGGGAGTTACAATCACCGTCGCCGCCTCGAGGACCAGCTGGGAGTTACAATCACCGCCGTCGCCTCGAAGACCAGCTGGGAGTTACAATCACCGTCGCCTCGAGGACCAGCTGGGAGTTACAATCACCGTCGCCGCCTCGAGGACCAGCTGGGAGTTACAATCACCGTCGCCTCGAGGACCAGCTGGGAGTTACAATCACCGTCGCCTCGAGGACCAGCTGGGAGTTACAATCACCGTCGCCGCCTCGAGGACCAGCTGGGAGTTACAATCACCGCGGCCTCGAGGACCAGCTGGGAGTTACAATCACCGCCGTCGCCTCGAGGACCAGCTGGGAGTTACAATCACCGTCGCCTCGAGGACCAGCTGGGAGTTACAATCACCGTCGCCTCGAGGACCAGCTGGGAGTTACAATCACCGTCGCCTCGAGGACCAGCTGGGAGTTACAATCACCGTCGCCTCGAGGACCAGCTGGGAGTTACAATCAATTGTTCCGTTGATTGTTCGACAGTTGTTGTTATAGAGTTCTTTACACTGTAATGAGTTTACTCACCTCCTACTATCCCTCTCAATCCAATAAGTGGATATTGCATAGATTAGTCTGCCCTGGAGCGCCGGTCTCGCTTCATGCAGGTCTGCGTTCAATCCCCGACCGTCCAAGTGGTTTGGGCACCATTCCTCTCCCCCGTCCCATCCCAAATCCTTATCCTGACCCCTTCCAAATGATATAGTCCAAATGGCTTGGCGCTCTCTCCCAATAGTTCCCATCCCCATGTCCAGGAAAGCCATTGTGATGGCTTTCAGACGGTCCAAGTGATTTAGGGAAGTAGTGTGTGTGTGTGTGTGTGTGTGTGTGTGTGTGTGTGTGTGTGTGTGTGTGTGTGTGTGTGTGTGTGTGTGTGTAGTACGGGGTCTCTCTCTCTAGCCTCTGTTTACGATATCTAGCGAGATAACGTGGGTAATCGTTGGCGTTTCATTCAATAACGTTTCTGGCTTGCCTGAATGACGTGAAATCTTGAGTGTGTACATTATCCAGTCACTGCCTACCACCGGCTGTGGGGACAACGGCTTGACCGACTTTGGGTCGACGGCTTGACCGACTTTGGGACGACGGCTTGACCGACTGTGGGGGACGACGGCTTGACCGACTGTGGGAGACGACGGCTTGACCGACTTTGGGACGACGGCTTGACCGACTGGGAAAACACCTCAGTCCATTTGGGAAGAACTCCCAGAACCCCATCAAGCAGGTACCACGGGCGATGTCCACTCTGCAGAAGAAAAGACAATAGCAATTAGAATACATAGGTTGCGTTGGGTGTATTAATTACTGTATTTATATATTTATAATGAAAACGTATTGTATTCATCCTACTACTAACAGCCTGGTTCAAGTATGTTTATTGAGACAAGAAAGAGAGACATCTCAAAGGGATAGAGTAGCTTAGGCTATTTCTACCCTCCTACAGCCTGGTTGATTACTTGGTTGACTTTATTAGTTTAATTAGTTTATTATTTTTTTTTTTTTTAATAAAATTAAATTTATTTTTTTTAATTTAAATTTTAACTTAAAATTTAATTTAAAATTTAATTTTAATTTTTAAAACTTAATTAGCCTGCTTGACCAGACCATCAACCAGGTCAGAGACCGGGGCACGGGGATATTGATCCTCGGAACCAACGAAAAGCAATCCAACTGAAGTTCTAATTTTTGTATCTAATAACCTAACCATTCTGGGATGAAAGAGCCCAATAGGCTCTGAAACTTGTACACCAGTTAATTAAGGGTTGACGGGGGGGGGGGGGGTTAAGGACCCAAGAGCCGCAGCTTAAATCACAACTAATCGAGTTTCCTGAATTGATCTTCCTGTGTTAAACAACAACTCGTTGGATTGGTTAAAGATTCAGCTACTGGGAACAAAAAAGTTCCAAGTAGCACGGGCTATGGTGATCCCCGTAGTGGACTTACCTGGCACAGGAGCGAGGGTGTAACTATCTAACCAGTTAACTAACCAAACAAAAGATACCACTCTTAGACATGACCGAACGACATGCGCAGGCGATTCTCCACGTTCGATGGCACTTGGAACATTCCTGGCTATTGATATCTGATCACTAAACCAAACTACGACGGGATATATATATATATATATATAGCCCCACGCACACGCGCGTGCGCGCACACGCTGATCAGCGCGCTGGCAGCCATTATCACCCCCTCTCCCTTAAATTTACCACTACGTAACAAATCCAACCTCCAAACCTAACCAGAACAACCCAAGCAACCCACCTAACCTATCGAGTCCGATGCATAGAAAACGAAGATATTCATTGTAAACCGGTACTTTTCACATTAGGTTACATATGTAACGTACAAAACGCAGCCTGTTAATTAAGAGAACGGGTGATTATCTTGAGGTTATCTTGCTACAAGCCCAATAACAGCCCAAGCCAATAACGTAGGTATACCTTCGTATACAAGGCACATCATACACAAAACGGTTATCTTGAGATGATTTCGGAGCTTTAGTGTCCCCGCGGCCCGGTCCTCGACCAGGCCTCCACCCCCAGGAAGCAGCCCGTGACAGCTGACTAACACCCAGGTACCTGGGTGGTAAGTCAAAAGACTAAAATTCATCTAGTCAAGCCTAACACAGCCTAATACATTCTAACCAAGTCTAACGCAGCCTAATACATTCTAACCAAGCCTAACACAGCATAATACATTCTAACCAAGTCTAACGCAGCCTAATACATTCTAACCAAGCCTAACACAGCCTAATACATTCTAACCAAGTCTAACGCAGCCACAGCCTAGGCCGTGTTATACATTCTAACACGGCCTAACCTTGCTATGTAGAAGTTTTTATTGACAATCGGAAAGAGCTTTGTTACACAGTGTTGTGTACGATGTTATCTTACCCCCCCCCCCCCACCCACCACAATACAAAATCATGTATTACAAAATAATTACAAAATAATGGCAAAATCTGATCCACAACATCTATGGAGGCGGCTGCGTGCATTCTGAGGACAAATTGTGCTTAATTAGACTTAATTAGACTTGAAGAGGAAAAAAAAATACTTTAGCAATAATTCGATTTGCTAAAACTGAGGATACGAATGAGGGAAACTATCAGGGGGGAAAAAAGTGCCATTCCATTACGGTTATATGGCACTTGGAAGGGGGGGTCAAGATAAGGATTTGGAATGGGACGGGGAGGGGGGGGGTGAGGGATTGTGTCCAATCACTTGGACGGTCATTGGGGATTGAACGCCGACCTGCATGAAGCGAGACCGTCGCTCTAGCGTCCAGCGCAAGTGATACAGGAGTGGATAATTTACTCAGAGCGGATAATTTATTCAGAGTGGATAATTTATAAAGAGTGGATAATTTAGAGTGGATAATTTAGAGTGGATAATTTAGAGTGGATAATTTAGAGTGGATAATTTAGAGTGGATAATTTAGAGTGGATAATTTAGAGTGGATAATTTAGAGTGGATAATTTAGAGTGGATAATTTAGAGTGGATAATTTAGAGTGGATAATTTAGAGTGGATAATTTAGAGTGGATAATTTAGAGTGGATAATTTAGAGTGGATAATTTAGAGTGGATAATTCAGAGTGGATAATTTAGAGTGGATAATTTAGAGTGGATAATTCAGAGTGGATAATTCAGAGTGGATAATTCAGAGTGGATAATTCAGAGTGGATAATTCAGAGTGGATAATTTAGAGTGGATAATTTAGAGTGGATAATTTAGAGTGGATAATTTAGAGTGGATAATTTAGAGTGGATAATTTAGAGTGGATAATTTAGAGTGGATAATTTAGAGTGGATAATTTAGAGTGGATAATTTATTCATTAATTTCAGCTTCAAAAATGAGTTAAGTGGTCAGATCTTATCCTTCAACAAACAAGTTTCGGTTTACGCTTCCAGAGTCAAGGCAATGAAAGCCAAACACACGACCAAACACACGACCAAACACACGACCAAACACACGACCAAACACACGACCAAACAAACGACCAAACACACGACCAAACACACGACCAAACACACGACCAAACACACGACCAAACACACGACCAAACACACGACCAAACACACGACCAAACACACGACCAAACACACGACCAAACAAACGACCAAACACACGACCAAACACACGACCAAACACACGACCAAACACACGACCAAACACACGACCAAACACACGACCAAACACACGACCAAACAAACGACCAAACACACGACCAAACACACGACCAAACACACGACCAAACACACGACCAAACACACGACCAAACACACGACCAAACACACGACCAAACACACGACCAAACACACGACCAAACACCCAGATTAAACACCCAGATTAAAAAAAAAAAACACACGCAATATTCAAGTCATTTGTTCAACCTTGTAGAATGTTAAGAAACATATGCAAAATTTTTCAACCTTTTCCCGTAATTGTTTAATTGTGTGTTGGGGGGGGGGGGAGGGAGGGGGGGGGACATCTTAATATTGAAAGGTATTTAAAGCATATTGAAATAAAAATTTATGGACACTCAAGACATCTTGCGGGTACAAAGTGGGACAATATCTTAAGTTTAAGGATTGGTCAATGTTAATCTTCTTTAAGTTTAAGGATTGGTCAATGTTAATCTTCTTGCTTGACCATCTGTTCACTTTCTTAACTCCCAGCTGCGTCTTGGGGTACAAGTGACAGGATGAACAACCCAGCGGGTTTTCTTCCTACTGTGAGACGGTGGTGCAGTGGCTCGTCCACTCGTAGGATGAGTGACGTGGCCCAATAACTTCTCCCTTCGGATAAAATATGTATAATGCTCATACCTGTAAGGGAACAATGGGGAGGGGGGGAACCGAATGAGACACTTTCTTCAGTGTGTTACTGGTATATTAACTAGAATGAGGTATAAGCTGTTGAATAAGATCAAATCGTGCGAACCTTGAGGAAGTGAACTTTTTATTTTAAAAGGTTTAATAAAAGCACCACTAAAGCGAATACCTAAAGTTTTAAGAACAAACAAGACAAAAATACCAGTGAAAACAATTGGGTGTGAGTAGAGCTGTTTTGCGTGTGTGTATTTACTGTTTGTGCTTGCAGGACCGAGCCGGCGTGCAGGACCGAGCACTTTACCTCTTGGACTCTGCTTTTCTACCCGTTGGATATCTAATGTACAGACTCCCGACCTATTTTCCGTTACCACACACACACACACACACACACACACACACACACACACACACACACACACACACACACACACACACCAATCCCTAGGATGCAGCCGGTAACCACTAACTCTCGCGTATCTGTTTACTGCTAGGTAAACAGGGAGCATCAAGTGAAAGAAACTATCCATTTGTTTTCACCTCGGCCGGGAATCGAGCCGGAGGCCCTTAGGACTACGACCCCCGAGCGCTGTCCACTCGGCCTCAAGTGGAGAGAGTGATATATGGGGCTCGAACTCCCGACCTAATGATCTCTAGTTCATCACTGTACCCACTCACCCCAACAGTTAGTTCCACAAGAGACAAAGATCTTTAAAGGTCTACAAAGGAGACCTGAGATACCTGCTTGATACCTGCTGAGAAGCGTTAGCAGGTATCGTAGTTCCAACACAATTGTTCCAATTCGCAATTACCGGAACCACTCGGGGCATCACCAAATCGAGTGCTGCTTTTTAACATTTGCTTCGTGATACTATGAATTTGTTGATATGATCGAGACACCGTAGAAATAGGAGGACACGGACGAATTACTTGAGGCGTCGACAAGTCCGAGATGTTAACAAGAATTTTTAAGATGGCGCGCCGTAGGAATAGAGTAGTTGGAGAGCATGTGGTAAGGCGAGGCCTCGGGCAGGAACTAACCAACCCTCGATTGATTGATTGATTGATGAACATTAAGCCACCCAAAAGGTGGCACAGGCATGAAATAGCCCGTAAGTGGTGGCCCTTTTGAGCCATTACCAGTATCAAGAGCCGATACTGGAGATCTGTGGAGGTGCGACTGCACCCTGCGTGACGGGAGATGTCTCCCGTGACCAACCCTCGGCCCTGCAAGCACATTTAACAGAGTATACAGAACTAGTCATAATCATTAACTATAAAAGGACACCCCCAGCACAGCGTTCAACTCCCCCACCGCCGCGAACCGTGACTCCCAAAGACCCATAATTCCCCCCCCCCCCTCCAGCCAGTAATCTCTCTAGTGTACGTGAATCATAATTATCATACCTT